TTTAAGCCAACCTTGCCTTCCTGAAGCAACCCCAACTTGATAATGTTCAGTCTTTTTTATATTTTCTGAATTCTTATTGATAACATTTTGTTTATAATTTTTGTATTTCAATTGCTGAGTTAACTGTCCTGCAATGATTTGTTCTCATAAGTGATCTTAGGAGGTTTTCATCAAGGTTTTGCTAGTCTCATAAAATGAGCCAAAGAGCAATTTCTCTTTTTCTGTTCTTCGGAATAATTTATATAAGATTGGAACTTTTTTTTTTTGTTTTGTGGGACTGGGGTTTGGACTCAGGTCTTTGCACTTGCAAAGCAGGTACTCTACCACTTGAACCATACCTCCAGCCCATTTTGTTCTGGTTATTTTTTTGGAGATGGGGTTTCTCAAACTATTTGGCCTCAAAATGTGGTTCTCCTGATTTCAGCCTCCCAAGTGTGTGAACCAGTGGTACCCAGTTTAGTTTGTTTTTGAGATAGGGTTTTACTAACTTTGCTGGGGCTGTCCTCTCAAGTAGCTGGGATTACAGGCTTGTACCACCTGCCCAAACACCTCTTGTCTTTTAAGTGTCTGTGCATCCAGTTGTGCCTTCTCTCTTTTCCTCTTGCCAAAGAATTATCAGTTTTTTCAAAGCAGCAGAGTTTTGGTTTTGTTGACCTTCTTCATTTTATGTATATTTTCAATGTTGTCTTTCTTTCAATTTATTCTGTTATGTCTTTCTTTCAATTTATTCTGTTATGTTATAGAATCTTAAAAATGATTCTTGCTGGGAGTGTGGCACATGCCTGCAATCCCAGCCCTCAGGAGGCTGAGGCAGGAGGATCATGAGTTTGAGGCCAGCCTAGGCTACCTAGCAAGACCATATCAAAAAAAAAAAAAACAAACCAGAAAGCTGGGCCTGCTGGTGCGTGCCTGTAATCCCAGCTACTCAGGAGATAGACACAGGAAGATCAAGGCTTGAGGCCATCCTTGGCAAAATTGAGTTCAATCCCAGAACCACAAAAAAGATTCTTGGTTCATAATTTTCTGTTTTTATTTCCCTTTTAATAGTCATTTAAAGCTACAAATGAACCTTTAAGTATGACTTTTGCTGTATACACAGACTTTAATATATAGTCTTATCAATTTCAGTATTTTGTAATTTTTATTGCACTTTTTCTTTGTGTTACTTACATTGTGTTTCTTCATTTCCAAGCATATTCTTTTGCTGTTATTTCTTTCTAAAGTAGTGGTATTGTGGTTAGAGAAGAGTGGCCATTGTCTGAGTCGTCTGGTACAGTTGCCATGTGCTCCTGGTGTACTTGGAATCCAGCCCATTCAAACTGAGCTGCACCATGAGTGTAACACACACTGGGTTTCACATAAGTACCAGATAAAAGGTGTAAATCTCAATAAAATTTTAAGTTTATTACATATTGAACTGATCACATTTGAACATACTGAATCAAAATATGAAATTATTTCTTTTTACTTTTTAAAACTATGACTACTAGAAAAATTTATAGCATATGTGTAGCTCATGTCATGTTTCTATTGTGCTAGTCTATAAAATAGTCATCCTTTGAAACTTGTTAATATTTGGTTTATGGGGCTGAAGATGTGGTTCGGGGGCTAGCATACTCAAGACCCTTGCATCTATCCTCAGCCCCTGGCTTATGGCCCAGGCTGTGCTCAGTTTTCATACATGTTTCTTGTGTACTTGAAAAGAATATGCATTCTCTAGTTACGAGCAGTTATAGAAACATGGACACAGATTAAGCTGTTGTTTTGCTGAATCTTTTTTTTATCTTTACAGATTATTTGTCTGCTTGGTTTCTGCTTATAGTTTCACCAGTTTTTGCTGTATGGTTTTTGAGATTATGTTATTAGATGCATATAAGTTTAGAGTTGTTATAGTTTTCTGGTGAAACTGCTTAACTGTGAGCTCTTTGCTTCTTCTTATTTTTTGCCTTAAAGTCTACTTTTATCCAATATTAATACAGCTAAAAAGCATTATTTTAGTTGGTCTATGCCTGTTCATGTACTATTCTATTTTTCTTTTAACTTTTTTTGCATCATTGTATTTTAGAAACAAATCTTATACTTTATGATTGGATTTATTTTCTTTAAAGATCTGATAATTTTTGTATTTATTTGAAGTATTCACTCATTTAAGTTTTTTTTTTTTTTTTTCTTTTGAGATAGGATGTTACTGTGTAGCCCAAGCTGGCCTGAAACTCAAGATCTTCCTGCCTCATCCTTCTGGGTGCTGGGATTGCAGATGTGCACGGCCATACCCAGCTACATTTACGTTTCTTGTAGTTAGTTGCTGGTTCATTTGCACCAAATCCCTCCCATTTTATTTTGTGTTTTGCATTTGTCATGCATTTCTATCCTTCACCTCCATCTATTTCCTCCTTCTAGATTGATCACTTTTCTTACTCTTTTTTATCTTTCAGGTGTTTGGAAGTTTTCTATGTTCTGTTTATATAATGCTGGTCATTCTCTTAGAAAATTTAGCATGAATACCTAACTTAGCAAAGGATAAAGTAGTTAAAATCTTTATCTTCCTCTGAAGTGGTTTTAGGGTCTTGAAATGCTTTTAATTCTGAGCTCGTACCTTCCCAATTTGTGTGCTATTGTTACCCAGTAAATTGGTCCTATTTTATTTTTTAATCCCACAAATTGCACACTGTTATTGTAATTTCATACAATGTTTGCTTAGATGTAATGATATATTTATCATTTTCTTTGCTCAAAATTCTTCATTGCATTTCAGCTTTTCTAAGTGGGATAATTTTTCTTTCCTTCCGCCTCAAGTTCATCCTTTGTAGCATTTTTTTTTATGGAGGAAAATAAAATTATGAAGATAAACAACTCCCTTTGTTTTCTCCACAATATTTTTTTCATCTTTCTTCTTGAAAAATATTTTATCTGGGTCTACAATTGATTGTTATTTTCGTTAAGCACATTGAAAATGTTTGCTTTTTGTTATTACTGCTGAGAAGTTAGCTGCTAGTCCAGTTGTCGGTCTCCTTGATATCTACAGTGTGTTTTAGTGACTGTGACATAGTGGGCAAAGTGGATAAAGGCTGACCTTCTAGAATAGGACTGACTGGATTTAAATCCAAGCTTTTTGGTTTGCTAGCTGTGTGACCTTAGGCAAGCTAATTAACCTCTCTGTGCCTCCATGTACCTCCCTTTCATCTTCCATCAAATGAGGGCAATAACAGAACCAGCACCTGCATCTGATAGTGGTCAACACAGCAGAAGCACACAGTAAGTGCTCTTGCAGGGGACTGCTTCTTATCCTTATGTTTTCCATCTTCTTATCACTGGTGTTGATGTGTCAAGGTGTGGTCCTCCTTTTTTTTTTCCTGTTTGAAATTCATTGAGCTTTTTGAATCTGTGAATTGCTGACTTTTTTTTTAGTGGGACTGGGATTTGAACTCAGAGCTTCATGCTTGCAAAGTGGGTGCTCTATCTCTTGAGCCATGTCTGCAGTATATTTTCCTCTGATTATTTTGGAGATGGGGATGTCATGAACTATTTGCCAGGGCTAGCCTGGAAGCGAGAGCCACCCAATCTCAGCCTCCCAAGTAGGTGGGATTGCAGGCATGAGCCACTGGTGCCCATCCATGAATTGCTTTTATCAGTTATGGAAAATTCTTAGCCACATACTGCCTCTGCCCGTCTTTCACTCCTTTCTCTTTCTGGAATGTTAATTAGTCCTTTTCACTCTATCATTTGTGCTGACTGCATTTCACAGTCTCTGTGCTGGGAATATTTTGGATAATGTCTTTAAGGCTATCTTTTAGCTCACTAATTGGTTTCAGCTGTGTCTAATATGTTATTAAACCTGTACATCGAGTTTTCAGTTTTAATTATGCTTAGATTATTTTTATTTCCAGAAATTGTGTTGGGTTCCCAACCTTATCTGCCTGTGTATGTTTTTATTTTCTAACCTTTTGCCCTTCACTTGCACATTCAACTCCTTCCTTTATTTCTTTGAGCATATTATGCTTCCATATTTTGTATGCTGGTCTGATCCATCCAGCATCTGATTCTGCTGCCTGGTGCTTTGGAGCTGCATAAGTCTGACGCAAGGACCCCTGAGAGCCAGGCCATCCCAAAGGCTTTTCTCTGTGAAGGGCTGTTCTTAATATCTTTCCTGCTGTCTCCCCCCAACCCCTCAAGATGTCCTGTTTCTTTCTTTCTCCCTTTTTCTCAATTACGTTTTTTTTCAGATGCTTGATTCATTCCCATGGTTAAAAAAAAAAAGTGAAAAGTGTCCCTTCCAGCACCCTGTTCCCCCTTCCTGGCAGCCATGGATATTAGGTTCTGTGGATACTTCCAGGCATATTTTCTGTGTATTCAAGCAAATACAAATTTAAAAATTCATTCTCTCAGTAATGCAAATGGTAGCATACCACATATATTGTTCTGTACTTGCTTTTTAATAAAAAATATGCTTCTGATTATAAAAGAAATACATGCTCATTTCGAATAACATAAATACCCAAGTGTATACACAGACAAAGTGGAGGTCTCCCTGTAATTTCATTCCCCAGAGATAGCATCTCTTTTGCGTCTATAAATATATATTTACATCTGTGGCCTTATGCAGCAGATGTTGTTCTGAAGCCTTTTTTTTCTTCTTCCCCCAATAATGCACCAGGACATCTTCCCATGAATCTGTCCACACGTGGCAGTTAACTGCGGGGCCGTGGAGGCAGACACAACTATGTCCTAACACTGGCTCTACAGCTCACTCGCTGTAGGGCTTTTCAGAGCTTCTCTGAACCTCACGTTCCCCATCTGTCAAATGGTAGGATAGAAATGGCACACACCTCCTGGTTCTGAGACCTCAGTAGGATCACATCTGAGGTGCTTCCTCCAGGGACGGCTACTTTATAAGCCCCCAGTAAAAGGTAATTTTTATTATGACTCCCTCGCCCTTTCTAATGGTCACAGAATTTATAGTGTAATGTATCACCATTTAATAACCATTCCCTCTTTAATAGACATTGGATTGTACCCAACTTCTTTTTGTAACAAATGCCAGCCCAGTGAACAGGGTGCAGCCTTTCAAAAAGAGCATCTTCTGTGACTTCCCTGCCCGGGAGTCACTGGATCCTTTGGATTCTAATCTCTGCACCCTCTTTCTCTCCAAGGAGGAAGTGAGAATGCCCCACGGGGTGAAGCTTGTGTGTTACGTAGGTTTTCACTTTTCTTTTTTACTGCCCTGCTTCCTTTGCCCAGGGGTTGAGGGTGGGCAGGTCCCCACAGCTAGGCAGTCTTCTGGTGCAGCCTAGCACTCCCCTCCCTCTTTGGTGCTGACCATTCCATGACTGTTCACACAGGGATTAGCTTTCAGACACATTCGCTTTTAATACATTTCCCTTACTTTGCAATAAATTAAGAGAATCAGAGCACATGAAAGGTAGGATAAACGCCTAAAGGAAGCAAGAGAAGGGACAAATTTTCTTACAACACCCGTCACACTCTACCAGTCCTCGAAAGGTACAATTTCTAGACTCAAAGTTAACACCTGAGCTTCCTGGCAGCCATAGCAAAAAAGAGGTAGATGGTTAAGAGCCCACAAATCGTTCTGCACCATGAAAGAATTTCTCTCAGGGGTGATAGATAGGTGAATGGCAGATTTATAGAGGGAGGGATGGCTGTATATGGCTGCTCAGGGGAGGAGCATGAAAAAGGCATGACAGAGAGCTTTGAACAGGAGGTGGAGTTACCACAGGGTGTATCCCTCCTGATGAGCTGGATCTCTGGTCAGCAGGAGGGTGAGAAGGAAGGGTCCTGGCACAGAGTCCGGTCCCCTCTGAATGTGACTAGGGGCTAAAGGGGACGCAAGAGAGTGAGGCCTTTTTCAGACACTGGATAGTGGGGACTGAGACAGGCACGCTCATCATGGAGCTCACAGGCCAGTGGGGGAGAGACAGTGAACAACTGTAGCTGGACTGGGTGCTCTGTAGGACAGGGTGGCAGCCCCCACTCCTCGGTTCCTAAGCACTGGTCTCCCTGCAGTACAGCTCTGGAGCAACAGTCCATCTCCTGGGGGCCATTAGCCACAGCCAGGCAGGGGGACAGCAGCCACCAAAGCTGCAGGCTCTGGAAGACTTGATGGAGGTCACCTCAGCCCTGCCCAGCCAGAGGCCCAGAAGGAGGGAGAGACCCACCACCACTCCGGGCTCTGCCAGACACCAGGTACAGCATGGGCTTCCTGACCTTAATCCTGCTGAGAGAGGCCACCTCCACCTGATTCAGAGATGTCACTGAGGCTCAGAGATGGTGTGACTTGCTTAGGGTCACCCAGAACAATGGCCCTCTGGGGTTAGCCTCCACTGGCTGGCTGGCCTGGGCTTTTCCTCCTGCACTGGGGAACTTGGTAGGTGGGAGGGCTGGGCCTCTAGTGCATTTGGAGAGCTTCGGTCTGAGGCTGGCTTGCAACCTGATGACTCATGTGGCCTGCTGCCCCAGTGGGACCTCTTGGGGCTTTTCTGAAGCTGTTCCCTTCCCTCAAAGACCCCCTCCTACAAAGCTGAGTGTGAGTGGGGCTTTCCATGCCACCTGACTGGAGCAGGGATCTCAAGTCCTGGACTGGCAGTGGTCCTGGGCCAGGAGATTGGCCTCTACCTGTAGTATTCCTCATCTCTTCCCACAGTGTGGCCAGGTGGAGGATGCAAACCAGCAGCCTCTTCAAGATGGGACAGAGGACTCAGGTGAAAGGACTGGAGGTGGATTTGCATCCAGTTCTGGCCCCAGCCCTGCTAGAGCCCTTCTTTCCCTGCTCCCATCAGCCTAAGGGGTGGGAGTTCCCAAAGGGTAGGAGCTCCTGGCTGCTTGGGCTCAGCTCCCAGGCCGAGTGGGGACTTCCCTTGCCTGCCTGAGCCTCATAAGTCTGCTCTTTTTGTGCCTCTGGGTGCCCCCTGGGGGCCCATGGCTTTCTCCCACAGCTCAGCTTCAGTCCCAGCAGGAGATGATACCCCCGGATGCTGGGGCACGGACCAGGACCACCGTGATCTGTGCCCTGCAGGAGGCGCTATGGAGTCGGTAAGGTCTTGCTTCCCATCCCACTTATGTGCTGAGAGGCTGCTCCACAGACCACCGCCGAGGGCCAGGCCACGCCCTGAGGGTTTCTGTAGTACCTGGTAGTAGGGAGGTCACTGATCTATCCAGCCAGCAGGTAGAGAGCTGAAGTTTGCACCTGGATGTCTCTGGCTTCAAGGCCATGATTTCCTCTTTAGCTGCTGTGGCTCTCAGCATTTGCTCCGGGGCCTTGATGTCAACCGCAGCAAGTGCTTACAGCCATGGTGAGAGTCTGCTAGAATCATTTCAGAGATCTGAGCCCAGAGCCCTCATTTGCAGATGGCGAGACAAAGCCAAGAGAGGGCAGCACTTTGCAAAGGCTACACAGTAAGTCAATGGCAGGTTCGGTGTCACTTCTGTCCTCTCCTCTAGATGATGCCTACCCCTCCCCCACCATCCCAGACTTGCTCCCTTTCACACTCCCTGACTGCCCAGGGATGGAGCCTGGGCTGGGGAATCTAGATTTTTTTCTTTTGGAGGCACTGGGGTTTGAACTCAAGACCTCATGCTTGCTAGGCAGACCCACTCTTACTGTTTGAGCCACTCTGCCAGCCAGAGATCTAGATTTTGATCACTGGCTGATCTCTGAACTTCAGCAACCTCATCTGTAATAGACTGGTAACATCTCCTCCAGAGCTGGGGTGAGATTACACAGGCCCATGGAGGAAAGTTCCTGGAACAGGCCCTGGAATGGGGAGGAGTTGCTCTGATCCTGTTTACTTACCCCCATTCCTCCCTATGGGGCTAAGTGTGTGGACATCCTCAGGGACCACAGCACTGTCCTTGTCCCCACAGCCTTCAGGAGCGTCCGGACTTGCTGTGGGAGGAGGAGGAGGTGGAGGGCATCGCTGCTGGCATCGAAGCAGCACTCTTCGACCTGACACAGGGCATCAACTATCGCTACAAGACTAAGTACCGCAGCCTGCTGTTCAACCTGCGAAACCCCAGGAACCCAGTGAGTGGGACTCCACCCCTCTCTCTGGAGTGCCAGGAGAGGGAAGGTTGTTGGGATGTGGGCACTCAGAGCTGGGTGGTGCAGGTCCTCCCATTTCCCCTGCAGGACCTGTTTTTCAAAGTGGTTAATGGTGACGTCACCCCCCATGATCTGGTACGGATGAACTCATCTGAGCTGGCCCCCCAGGAGCTGTCCCGCTGGCGGGACCAGGAGGAGAAAAGGGTGAGCTACAGAGCCAAGTCAAGACAGGGGAGAGGGAGAGACAGAGAGGAGAGGGGGATCAGACAGAGACAGGGAAGCAGGAACCAGGGAAACACAGAAATAAGAGAGACAGGGAGAGGGTCAGACCTCCAGGAGAAAAGGAGGAAAAGAGGCAGAGGTGAAGGGCACTGGGACAGAGGACTCTGCCAAGAGGTGCCAAACTGGCTTTCCTGTGGAGCTGGGCTATGTAAGGGTGTGGAGGGGAGGACTGCAGCAGGACTAGAGCCTGGAGTCCAGAGTGGTCATCACTATCCGTGAGGCGTCCCTGAGTGCTCCTTCCCACCCCAGCCTCAGAAGCCCCAGAAAAGCCTGGGGGTCTTCCTGGTACCTGGATAGGGAGAGGGATCCCATATCCATGGGCCTGGCCCTATCTGGGAATTCAGGGGTAGGGAAGGTATGGTACTGAGTGGGCTTTGGAGAAGGGTTGTCCCAATGAGAAGGGTGCTCATTGGTGGCTCAGTGAGAGGGGAGGACACTGATGGGGCCCACTGAGACCCCCATCCACCGTGATGGGGTGGGGGCCCGTTGGAACTAATAACCAGAGTCTGTTAGGTGACTCCACCCTCTCCTGGCTGAGCTTCTGTCCAGGCACTGGGTTGGGGTGTGAGCAGAGGACAGGATCGGCTGCCTAATTGTGGGGGCAACATGAAAAGTGGGGCCTTTCGTTCAACAACTGTTAAGAATTTCAAGGTGATGACAGCAGAACTTGAGACCAAGCATGGATCCTTCTAAAGGAGAGACCAGTGTGGTGGCAAACATCTATAAGAGCTACTGGGGGGCAGAGCGAGGAGGAATTTGGGGCCAGCCTGGGCAAAGTTAGCAATATCCTATCTCAAAAGCAACTTAAAGTATGGCCTGGTGGCTCAGCTTTGTAATCCTAGCTACTCCAGAGGTGAATGGGAAGATCATGTTTCCAGGCTCGCCTGGGCCGTTAGCGAGACCCCGTCTCAATCAATAAAAAGCTGGGTGTGTCTGGAAAAAAATTTGGAGGCTACTTAAAAAGCTAGACATCGATCTACCATTTGATCCAGCAATACCACTCTTGGGGATATACCCAAAAGACTGTGACACAGGTTACTCCAGAGGCACCTGCACACCCATGTTTATTGCGGCACTATTCACAATAGCCAAGTTATGGAAACAGCCAAGATGCCCCAGCACTGACGAATGGATTAAGAAAATGTGGTATCTATACACAATGGAATTTTATGCAGCCATGAAGAAGAACGAAATGTTATCATTCGCTGGTAAATGGATGGAATTGGAGAACATCATTCTGAGTGAGGTTAGCCTGGCTCAAAAGACCAAAAATCGTATGTTCTCCCTCATATGTGGACATTAGATCAAGGGCAACACAACAAGGGGATTGGACTATGAGCACATGATAAAAGCGAGAGCACACAAGGGAGGGGTGAGGATAGGTAAGACACCTAAAAAACTAGCTAGCATTTGTTGCCCTTAACGCAGAGAAACTAAAGCAGATACCTTAAAGCAACTGAGGCCAATAGGAAAAGGGGACCAGGAACTAGAGAAAAGGTTAGATCAAAAAGAATTAACCTAGAAGGTAACACCCATGCACAGGAAATCAATGTGAGTCAAGGCCCTGTATAGCTATCCTTATCTCAACCAGCAAAACCCCTTGTTCCTTCCTATTATTGCTTATACTCTCTCTACAACAAAATTAGAGATAAGGGCAAAATAGTTTCTGCTGGGTATTGAGGGGGGTAGCGGGAGGGGGTGGAGTGGGTGGTAAGGGAGGGGGTGGGGGCAGGGGGGAGAAATGAACCAAGCCTTGTATGCACATATGAATAATAAAAGAAAAATGAAAAAAAAAATAAAATCAGGAACCAGAAAAAAAAAAAAAAAAAAGCTGGGTGTGCTGGTACAGGCTGGTCATCCCAATGAAGTGTAAATGGGAGAATGGTCCAGGTCAGCCTGGGCATAAAAATGAGGCCCTATTAGAAAAACACTAAAGAAAAAAGGACTGGTGGAGTGGCTCAAGTGGTAGAGTGCCTGCCTGGTAAGTGCAGATAGGGTTTGCAGGTGAGTTCAAACCCCAGCACTGCCAAAAAATAAATAAATAAATAAGGCTGGGATGGGCTTGCTCTGGGTTCAATTCTCATTATCAAAAACAAAAAAATATTGGGCTTTTGAGAAACATCTTAAGTAGGTGATGTTGATGGACAATTAGAATCACAGCTAGCACTTAATATGAGCCATCCATCAGGCCACACCTTCTGTATATGTTGTTTAATTCAGTGCCCTTAATTTAATCCTCAGAGCCTGTGGTCTTTCCTAAATACCACTGCCTCCTAGGGCAGAGGGGGAGGTATAGCCAGGTGAAGATGAAGTCTAGGAAGTCTCCCTGGAGGAGGCAGGACCTCTGAAGTGTAAATAAGTGGAATCTGGAGGGAATAGCTGAGGGTGGTGGGCTTTCCAAGAGAGACAGGGAAGGGCTGACATGGGCAGTGAGTCACAGGAGAGGGGCATTGAGGGATAGAAGGGAACACTTGGGGCCTTGGTGGCCAGAGACCCCTAACCTGGCTGAGCTCGGTGTCTTCAGGGCTTGGAAATCATTGAGCAGCAACAGAAAGAGCCACAGGGACTTCCGGTCTCCAAACTGACCCACAAGGGTGAAGTTGAGATCCTGCGGGACCTGGACGAGACGCTGACCCTGGAGGACCTGGTGGTGAGTGGGGGCCTGAGTTGGCACTGGGCAGAGATCCTACTCCTTACCTCACAGTTGTGTGGCCTTGGACAAGTCACCTGTCTACTCTGTGACCCTCTTGTTCTTGATAGAGAAGGGACCGTCATCTTTACTGCACAGGGTCTAGGCAGCCACTGTGCGAGATGGGACCACATTCATGGGTCTGTTTGTGCCACCGTGCTACTAGTCCCGCTCCTTCCAGGTTAACTCCAAGGCATTCCTGTGCGTGGTACTAGGTGACCGCAGTCACCCCCTTCCCAGCCAGGTCTGTAGCTGGGATGCAGGAGACTACACCATTCCAGGCAGAGAAGGGACAGAGACCTGTTCTATCCAGTGAGTTTGTTTGAAGATGCTGTAGGCAAGGCAGTCGGCCAGAGGCCCTCCTGGAACTTGCTCTCGTACCTGGACAAGGTCTGGGTTCTGAGCCTCCTCTTGTCGCTGGGATTGGCTCCACCCTCAGGCACATCCAGGACCTTCCTCCCCCTGGGCTCCTCCCTCTTGTCTGGCATGGTGCTCAGCAGCCCCAGAATCAGATGACCAGGTATTGTGGCCTCCTGGAGCCAGCAACAACTTCCACTTGGCCCGTGTCAGTCATTCTCAGAAGGCCGCTCTGGCTTGGTTGGGTGATCCATGGATCCATTGTCACCTGGCACTAATGAGCTTGTATCCAAGGCAGAGGGGTGCAGGGTAGGCCCTTTGGCCCGTATTCATTCACTCAGTGTGCCTCCTGGGTGCAGTGAACATGACAAGCAAAACTGCTTCCTAGGCCTCCCATCACCAATACTCAGATGGAAGAAAACTGCTGCTGTGCAGACAGGAGCCCCCAGGGGGTGTGACTGCTCCCTAACCCAAAGCAAGCCATGTTCCCTGAATAAACTGAGAGTCAGTGTGTGGAGGTGCTGGGACCCTAAAGAGAAGCCCTCAGTCCCAGGAGAAAAGAGAGAGAGGAGGTGGACGAGCAGGGAAGGGGAAGACATGCATAATAATCTTTACTCTGTTTTAACACTGGCTGTGTGCCCTTTTTACAAACAGCCCCTCATTCAGACCTGGCAATGACAGGTCTGGTGCAATGCTGCATCTGAAACCTTTGGCCTGAGGTCATGTAGTGTACCGTGGTGGAGCTGAGACACAAACCGGGGCTACCTCACTCCAAAGCCACTGTTTTGAGAGGTGGATGCGAGGCAAGGGTAGAATTTCAGGATCTTCTCTACCCTCCCCCACGGTACTGGGTTTGAACTCAGAGCCTCACGCTTTTTAGGTAAGCACTCAACCACTTGAGCAACTCTGCCAGCCCTATTTTGTGTTGGGCATTTTTGAGATAGGGTCTTGTGAATTTTTTGCCCTGTTTGGCTTCAAACCACAATCCTCCTTATCTCTGCCTTCTGAATAGCTAGGATTACAGGCGTGAGCCACTGTTGCCCTGCCACAGAGTCTTCACAACCTTCCTAAAGCAACATTTTTTGTTCAGTTTGTTTTGGGTTTTCTTTTGGGCAATACTAGGGTTTGAACTCATGACTAGGCAAGTGATCTGCACCTTGAGCCACACCTCCAGCCCTTTTTGCTCTGGGGCTTGAACTCAGGGCCTACACCTTGAGCCACTCCATCAGCCCTTTTTTGGGATGGGTTTTTTTGAGATTGGGTCTATTGAGCTATTTGCCTGGCTGGCTTCGTACTGCAATGCTCCTGATCTCTGCCTCTTGAGTAGCTAGGATTATAGGCGTGAACCACCCGTGCATGGCTTGCTCTGGTAATTTTTGAGATAGGGTCTCGCTTTATACCCAAGCTGGCCTGGACTGTAGTCCTCTTATAACTGCCTCCCACATAGTTGGGATGACAAGTACATGTCATCGTGCCTACCTTTTTTTGGTTGGAATGGGGTCACATAAACTGCTCCCCTCTCTGCCCCTGCCCCAGGCTGGCCTTGAACTGTGATCCTACTGATCTTCACTTCCTGAATAGCTAGGATTACAGGTGTAAGTCACACATGTTTCCCTGCGTTTAAAGTGCTTTGAAGGGCCATGAAGAGTCTTGAAAGCATTCCTTCTTCCTGAGTCTGTCTGCTTCTGAGAACTGGACCTCCAGGAAGAAGGTAACGTTTAGGAAAACACATGCTGCACAGAGATGTCCTCCAGACTGCTCACAATAGTGACAACCTGAAAATGACCCAGATGTCTAGCAACAGAGGTGATGTGTGGTACAACATGCCCCTCACTGCAGTGGCCACAGGAACTGAATAACAGGGCAGGCGCTGCTAAAATCAGTGGACAAAAATGAGGATGCAAAGTTCCGTATCTAATCTGTTATTATAGCAAAAGGACCCCTAAGCCCTGTATGTAGAAAAACTCTGACAAAGAAATACCCAGTACATCAAGGGGTGATTTTTCTAATTATTCAGTTTTTTGGTATCCACTTTTCTTTACAATTCCAGTGTCCTGTAGTAAAAATACATTATTTAGACAGACTGCATCCTTGAGGCTCCCTATCTACGAGGGTTCCCGACTTGCCCAGCTACCTTCCCATCTGTCCATCTCTGCCTTCCAGGAACCCACAGTGTTTGGAAACTGCAGTCCACCAGGCCTGCCTGCCCTGACAGAGGACACCACAGACCAACACCAACAGCACTTCATGGACCCCAACTGCCGCATCTGTGCGGGTGGGCTGGGGCCATGCATAGGGATCAGCCACAATGGGGTGGGCGATCTAGGGAGAAGGTGTCATGGTGGGGGTCCCCATGCCTCATGCCTCAGGTCACCTTGAGATGAACTTTGGCTCTCAAGCCATGGGTTGGCTTCTGTTTCTGCCTGCCTTTGTTTCAATTTTGCTGTTGTTTACAGACTGGGAGGCCTCGAGCGAGCTGTCAGACTTCTTCAGAGCCACCAAGAACCAGGGGGACAGTGTTTCCCAGACAGCCCCAAGTTCAGCTCCTACATGTTCTCCAGAGATGCCCAACACCAGGGAGACACTTCCCACAGAGTCCCAGGACAGGTGTGGGACTGGGAGCCAGGAGGTGGGCAAGCCAGTAGGGAGGTCACCAGCGGGCAGCAGACACACAGCATGGGTTTTTCTTCCTGTATGGCCTTGGGCGAGTCTTCTTATCCTAGTGAACCTCAGTTTCCCCATTCGTGCAGTAGAACCAATCATCCCAGCCAACTGTTTCCCTCCTGCCACATTTGGACGGATATTCCAGTCAGGTCTGAAATGGATGCAGGTACTGGGGACAGTCCTAATGGCCCTGCTTCTCTCACTTCTCCTAGGCTCCAGCTGTCTGCCGGGCCCACAAGAGCCCTGCCCAGCCCACTGCCCTGGGAGGGTGCACTTGACATGTTCTCCATCAAGCGGTTCCGTGTCAAGGCCCAGCTGGTCTCAGGACACAACTGTGGGCTTGTCCAGGTACACCTGCCCTGCTCTCCAGCCCAGCCAGCCACCCACCTCCTGCTTATGCATTCATTTACTCATTCTGTACTCATTCTAAAGCGAGTCATTGGCACCTTCTCTGTGTCTGGCCTGTGCTAGGCATGAGGGCAGAGGCGACATCAGCCCCATTCCTGCTGAGGCACACAGGGCAAAACACTCCCTGTATCCCGTACCCCAAGGCATAAAGCAAGAGGGGCCCAGGAGTGGTGTCCAGTACCTCTCTGGTCCAGAGGAGAGTTTTAGGAGTGATTGTTGAGTGACTAAATGATCAGCTGAAGTGTCGGATGAGGGTGGGAGGTTAGAGAAAGGAGTGGGAGGCTTCTAAGAACTTGTAGAAGTTTGGCCAGGACAGGATATAGGCCTCTGGTGGTAATTAGAGCTCTTTGGGCAGCCACAGAGGGTCTCTATACACTGCCTGCCCATCTCCATCACCCAGGCTTTAGCCTTCCAGGTGCCTAGGAATGAGTTGCCTAAGGGGTGGAAAGCTAGAGGTTGACTGGCCATCCTACCTGCCCCAGGCTCTGCCAGAGGTGGTCCGCTCAGCAGGCTGCATTCCTCCCAACACTGTCTGGGACCGTCTGGCTGGCATGTGCCCAGCAGGGGCCAAGGTAACGACATCTCTCAGGTACCCCCACTTCTCCTCGACCATTTCCCCAGCTTGAGCTCCCTCCCTTTTCACCTCTGCTACAGAGGCCTGGTTTGGGAAGACAGGATGTTGTTCCCCCACTTGTTCCCAGTGTGAGTACAGAGTGACCCTGGACCAGTCCCTTTGCTTCCTCCTCTAAGGAAGTGGGCTCCCAGTGGTGTGGTGAGACTGGGGGTGTCTTCACACTCAGAGGACAACTGCTCCTCAGCTCTCTCTTCCTGTGACAACAGGACATCTGTGTGGTCAGACTGTGTCCTCATGGGGCTAGGGACACTGAGAACTGTCGCCTGCTCTACTCCTACCTTAACAACAAGCAGTGCCATGCCCTGGGGGCTGTGGAGCACATGGGGGTGGTTCTGCTGCCCCTGCCTGCCTTCCAGCCCCTGCCTAGCAGACTGCGCCTTCTGGGGGGCCCAGGTGAGTGCTCATTGCCCATACCACACCTGCCTTCTCTCATTGGTGGCCAGACTGGGGGTGGTTCCCAAGTCATCTGTTTCCTAGAAGTGGATCAGTGGTGGAGCACTGTGAGGCCTGGATTCCATCCCCAGCACTGAAAAAGAAAAAAGAAAAAGACTCACACTTGGCTGTTTGAATGTCGCTCACTGTATACCAGCCATTGTTCCAAGAGCTTTACCTAGATGCAATCTTTTTTTTTTTTTTTTGGTTCTTGGGATTGAACCTAGGTTCAAGGCCAACCTAGACAAATAGTTCATGAGACCCCCATTTCTAAAATAACCAGAGCAAAATGGACTGGAGGTGTGTGGCTCAAGCAGTAGAGTGCCTGCTTTGCAAGTGCAAAGCCCTGAGTTCAAACTCTAGTCCTGCCAAAATAAAAAAATAAAATAATCCTATTGAATGGTACTATTAGATTCTCCATTTTACAGATGAGGAAACTGAGGTAGGGAGAAGGCGAGTGACTTCCAAAGTCATGTAACCAAGCTTCACACCCTGGCGGCCTGGCTTCAGAAGCTGGCTGCTATTACGACCCACACTGCCTCTCCAGTAGACACCCCTGAAGCTTCCAGGGACCTCACGCCACATTTGACCCAGGTACAGAGAGAGACAAAGATCCAGAGACAATTGACTGAACATCACCAGGAACAGGAGGAAACGGTGTTTCCCTGGAGCTGTGCTGTCCAGGCATGTCCTCTGTTCCAGGATTACTCCAGGTGTGGCTCCAGGGAAGCACCTGGGGAGGAAGACTCTGGATTCAAAGGGGAACTGTAATTTTCTGCAGCAAATGCTTTTGCCTTTCTGGGCTGCAGGTCCTGGGATGATGAGAGAATCTGTGAAACCACAGATTCTTGAGGTCAAATCCTCCAGGCTCCACCCTCAGCCAGATGAACCTTACAAACCTTCTGGGCAGGCTTACCCTCTCACTCACTTTTCCTGGCCTCTCATGGGGCCTGTGTCACTGCCAGGAAGCTCTTCATGGGATCTAACCTCCAGACGTGCTACCACCAGAGTGCAACTTTGGGGGCTCCATGTTGTTCCCCTCCAGGCCTTGGGCCAATCCCTCCTCATTTTCCCAGGTCTGGAAACCACTCACTCCAGTCTGTTGCTAGCTGTGCTGCTCCCCAAGGAAGAGCTTCCAGACACAGCTGTGTCCAGTCCGGTGCGGGGCAAGGCTCGAAAGACAGTCTCCTTCAATACGAAAGTGGAGACAAGATGTTACCAGCCAGAAGACAAAAGATCCAGTGACACCCTGAAAGGTTCCCCTCCCCCAGGAGGGACCCTGCAGCAGAGCCAGGCCAAGGGCAGCCTAGCTCCAAGGGGCTTTTGTACTTGGCAGAGGTTCCCCAGGGGCAGGGGGAAGCTGTGGGCAGAGTCTAAGACTTGGAAGGGTCCTGGGCGAGGGTGGTGGCCCTCAGAAACCACTTGGGGCCAGCCCCGACATCCCTATTCAGTAGCACCAGTCATCCATGGCTTTGGCCATGGCCAGCACTTCCACAATGCCTCCTGCCTCCACCAAGGTCTGCTCCAGCACATCGAAGCCCTGATGTCCATGAATTACCAACTCCAAGCCTCACTATGGCCCCCAGGCCAGAAGCCCCTTCCCCCACACTCTGTAGCACCTATCCAGCTTCCTGAAGCCCCAGGGATTCTTGGCCTCCTCTGCCAGCCCCCTGCAGCTCCAGAACCCTCTGGGCCAGACCCTGACCCCTCTTTGGGCCCTAGAGATTGAGCTGGTTCTGAATGTCTCCCCTGCCTGACCCTCCTATCCACCAGAACAGGGAGTTTGATTCCCTTTTTTATGCTGAAGCAAGGGGAGATAGGTGGAAGAAGAGGGAGGTCAGCTGTCCCACGTGCCCTTTTTGTTTCCTGTTCTGCAGTCTGTTTGGTGTTGATTGTTTGGTTCAATAAAGAATTTGGCAAAGTTAGGATTGCATCTGCTGGCTGGACAGGAGAGACCCTAGTCCTAGTCTGGTGTGACTTGAGGTGTCTGAATTTTTGTGCACAGATGTGAGGCCTTGCCAGTTGTTGGTCTAGGGTCCTGAACCAGAGCACAGTGGCTTCTGGAAGCATTTAACAAGAATCCTGAAGTAGGGGGAAGGATGTGAAGAGAAGGCAGGACTGGGAAGGGTGGATAGAGAAACAGGCTTTTGAAGGGGCAGAGACACACAGATAACTAGCAAGCAAAAGGAGGGCAAATTGCAGGGGTTTTAAACTAAATGACCCAAGATTTTCTCATTTGGATAGATGGTTTGTGGATTTTTTTTTTTTTTGGGGACACTGGGGTTTGAACTCAGAGCCTGACACTTGCCAGGCAGGCATTCTACCACTTGAACCACTCCACCAGCCCTCCTTTGGATAGATGGGGTAGCACAAAGCACCACCGTATTCCATGTGCCTGTGTGCACCTGTGAGGGTCTTTGTGCATGCGTGTGGGTATCCGTATGTGTATGTGATTGCGTGTTTGTTTTGTGGGTCTCTGTTGAGGCTGACTCCTTTCTGTATCTCTTCCCAGCTCTCAGGGAGAGTCAGGGGTTAGGCCTGGGATAGGCGTTCAGGTGGTTGAGGCTGCTGCTAGGACTGGCCAGTGCTGCCTTGCCTTGGGTTTGGAATGAGTTCCTCACAGCGGCTCTGATGGCACAGCTTCTCACTGTAGCATGTACCTCCAGAGAACTGAGTCTGGGAACCAGCTGCCTGGCTAACCCAGCCCAGCGTGGGGAAACACTGCAGGACCACACCCTTCGCCCCAGCTCCTGCATGGATGCACCGCTGCCCATTTTCTCCAAGTCTACCCGCACACGGACCTTGCTGCTCACCCTGCTGGATTGAGAAGGCGGGGTGATGATTGTTAGGGGGATCCCCTCTTTCTTCCTGGCCCCATAAAGTCAACGGTTGCCCTACCCGCGGCGGACAGCAGAGGGGGCCCTTGGCCTTGGGATGGAGGTCTGGGCTGGCGGGACCAAGGCTGAGCTGGGGGCGGGGTAAGAGAATTTTGTCGCCAGGGTTGGAAGATGGGGCGAGAGGTGGGGCGGGGGAAGGAGGGTGCACGGGAGGGGTCTGGACAGTAAACCAGGGGAGAGAGCGGGGTTCCTTTGGGAACTTCTCTGGCTCTGAAGGGCCCGAGAACGCCACAGCCTCCGAGCTCTATGCAAATGATGCAAATTACTATGCAAACCTACTGCTGGACTCGGAGTCTGCAACTTGGGTGGCTTTCCTAACGCAGTCGAGGTCGGGGAAACGTCTATGCACCCCTCCCCCAGGCTGGAGCTTTTTCCCAGGGAGCCGGGAGAGGCTCTCGGGGAAGAACAAACTCTGGCCCTTGGTAGGACATTCCTTTCCGAGCTTTAATTTGATCTCCATAAATGGGATGCTACCATGAGCCCTGACACCTTGCCCGCGGAAACATGGCGGTAACCGGACCCCGGAATCTTGCAGCCTGCCTCGAAGGGGGACTGAACCACATGACCCCACCCACCTTCTGGCCCCAGTCCACAAGCCCCTCGCTTGTGTCTATCTTGGCAGGGGCCAGGAACGCTGCTTAAGCATGACGTTGCTAGGGGGCGTGACCGGCGGTTGCTAGGCTCGAGGGACGTTGCTATGCAACGCTGGGCGGGGCTCGAGTTGCTAGGCCGGAATAGGAGTCCCTGCTACTCAAAGGGTTTTGGTGGAAGGGGCTTCGGACCAGCTAGGATCGCGACGCTGCTCTGAGATTTTTCCCCACTCTGGACGAAGTCTTTGGGGGGATGGGGGGGCTTCTGATTCACATCCTCTGCCACTCGGTGATCCTCTCGGCCCAGGAGCGAGGGACCCTGGGTCTTTGTGCACGTGTCTATGCGTCTGCTGGTGCAGATGGGGGGTGGGGGAGGTGTCGCCTTTGGATTTCCATAGCAACTGCTCCTGTGCCACCCCATTGCTCCTAAAGATTTGAGCAATTGCATGTACAAATTTACATATATCTGCATGTCATTAACATAGAGGCAGGCCTGGAACTTGTTTGGGCAACTATCTCTGGATAGTCCCCTTTGATTTTCTCTCATCCCGTCTGATGGGCACCTGGGCTGTGAGTGTTTTACTTATCGGTGTTCCCAGATTTGGGGAGATTCCCCAGTTCCCTAAACAATGCCAAGTCTTGTTGGAACCCAGTTCTGTCCTCTCCTGGCTGTGTGGCCTTGGGTTAGGTCCCCTCTCTATGGCTCAGTTTCCCTTTCTGTAAGTAAATCCCTAACTCATTAGGTTATGTGAGAGTTAAGTGGAATGCTACTGATACACAGACTGCTGCTTTGGCACACAGTAGGCACTCACGGTAGCTCCCTCTCTCCCTCCTTAGAGCCTAGTTCCTTTTAGAACCCAACTAAAGCAAATCAATTTTTTTTGCAGCTCAAGACATGACAACTAGACACCAGAACTTCCAGATGTCAGGGCAGACTGGATTCCAGGTGCAGGATGGACAGTTGTCTTGCCTGTTTGTCTTTGGAGGCTGGAGACCAGGTTGGTACAGCATGGACCTGTCCACTCCCAGTCCTTATCTCTCTCAAGAAGTCTCAAGGATTTCTAGAACCCTTGCATTCCTATCCCAAAGTCTCTGGAGTCTGAGGCATTGCAGCAGTGGTAGCTGAGATGAGAGGCTGAAGATGGAGCCAATGAGGTAGTGGCTGAGAAAGTGCTCTGTGGGACTGAGATGTCTGACTTGGAGCAGGGCCCTGGGAACAGCAGAGAACAGGAATTTCACTTGGACAGCTGCATGTCTGAGTCCTTACCAGACAGGTCTGGGGATCCCTAGTACTACTCCCTTTACCCTTTCTGTGTCTCAGGTTCCCCATTGTGGATAACAGATTACTCTGCTACAATGTAGCGGAGTGGGGGTGGGGTGAGGGGGTGGGGAAGCAAGGGAGTCCACTCAGTAGGAAGAGCTCTCTCGCAGAGCAGTGGAAGGAGTTCTCTGTTTTCGTGGCTGTGCAAGCACAGAAGCATGGCTGGGATGGAGCTGCAGAACTTTCTCCTGCAAGTTCTTTTTCTTGTTTGGACTCCAGCCTCTCCAAGGTTGGGAAGTCCTTCCTGGGTCTTTTGCCTTTCCTGCTCTGGTGGAGGCTCCTTCTTGCTCTCCCTTCTCCCAGTGTCCCTGTAACCTTAATATTCTTGATTGGTAGGGTCACATAGATACAGAAGCAGCGTCAAAGGGGAAAAACCATGTTGGTGTTAATTCTCAATTAGGTTCAGATAATTAAAATTAATGAGATTGGTTCTTATCCTGGTCGAAGAAGGTTATTGGTGATGGGTGGCGGGGTGGTATGTGTGTGGGGGTGATCGGTCAGTTGGCTTCTGGGAGGTGTGACTGCATAGGTGCCAGACCTTGCAGTTGTCACTCTTGACTACTATATATAAGACTGCTGCCTGCTGCAGGTAGGCCAGCCCTTTCCCGGTAGCCACCTGTGTTCCACAGGTGAGAGTTCCAGGGACAGGCTGAGAGCCTGGCAATACCCGGCTGGCCTGCCTGTGTCCCACTCTGGGGGCCAATTAAGCCTCTATCCCTAGCCGCGCCGATTAACAGTTAATAAGGCAGCAAACACCTGCAGCTATGGAGGAGAATTAAGAACAACAGTCGGCATAATACACAACCCGATAAGTGAGCAATTAACAACCCGAGAAAGATTAATAGAAGCAATTATGTCCTACTCAGAGCTCTGTAAATACGACTGTCAACTGCTGGGGGATTCAGTCCAGTCTCACCTGGGCCCACCCCCAACCACAGCCTCTGCCCACAGAGGAGCCAATGGAGCCAGCCTGTGGCGCCTGGACCACAGAGCCACGTACACACCGGGCATGTACAAATATGCAAATGTACGCAGGCATGCACACAAGAGAGACCCATAGATGCAATCACACAAATACAAAATCCGCCACTGTCACTGTCACATTCACACAGTTATGGGTACAGATAGGCACACATAAGTCCTTCCAGAAATACACATAGACATACCCACAATGTCACAAAGAGACACTCTCCTGTCTTATACAGAGCTAGAGCCACACCAATTACCAGACATGCTAAGACAGCAACTTAGACAGATAAATACACACAGTTTCATTCTCAAAAGTGGGTAAGGGTTAACAACCTAGAGCCTTGGCCAGAGAGAACTGGTGTAAGGGTAAAATAGCCACATAAGGAACAGACAGAATGCATGTGAACACATATAAAAGGTGTCTGCATACGTGTGACTCTAAGTGTGTGCATCCTCGCAAGAATGTGTGTTACTGATGTATAGGTGTGTTCCAGGGTATAAACACACATGTGCCTGTACATTTGTGTGGCCATGTGAGCAGAATGTACCACGATGTAAGCTTGTGTCTGGTGGGTCTGTGACTATACATGTGTGTGTCAGGCTCCTATGTGATGCTGTACAGTGCCAGGTCTGGGTAATTGTGTAGGTATATGTCAGAGAGGCTCTACATGAGTCCTGTCTCTGCTGGGCCAGGTGGGGGACACTTCCTGGAGGGACCCCTTCCCAGGGAACCTAGGAGTTCTGGTGTTGCCTAAGACCAGAGTCACCTCCAGAGAACAGGGCTGGAGGACAGGCAGGGACACTCTAGGGCTTCTTGGCGCACATAGATTCCCTTACAGGGACTTCTGGCTCCTCTAAAGAAATGGACTAGATGGTTAATTTCTCCTGATTGAAAGCTGAACTAGGAATTCACAGAGCACCCCTGCATCCACTCAGAGATTCCCATGGAAAA